GCTTCTGGGCGGCCTCTCACATGTCACGACGATGAGGAAGCGGAGGGGGGAGCGGTCGACAGGTTGAGAAGCCACCAAGAAGCAACAATAGACTGGTGCAAGGAAGAGAGAGATGAAAGCAGTAAAGATGGAAAGTTTGAACCTGTTTCACATTTAGTATGAATTGTAGAAGACCGCAACGAGACGATCACTGACTCGACATTGATTTGATGTGGACACGGGACACCAGCCTGGCAAGCCGGAAAGATGAAGCGGTGAAGGGAAATATGGATATGCCTGGCGGAGTGTCAGATACCGATATACTTTGACCGGATGTAGAGTAACTTACAAGGACATGGCAAGCTTAATGATGGACACGACTGCCAGGACCCAGCATAATGCCCAAAATTGCTAGAGTAGCCGAGCCGAAATTGTCAACATCATGGCCGGTGGCTCCAGGACGGAAGGAACATAACGTACCCACATATATCCCCTGCTTTGTGTTCGCCAGGCTGCCTGAGATAGGAAATTAGCGGAGACAGTTGTATTTGAATGTGGAGACATACTGCAGCTCGTAGTTGCCTGTTCAGCTTGATGCTCTCATAGTGCCGGGCTTGACTAGCAAGATTGGGGTGATCGAGGCGGGTGGCCAGATCCTCAATCTGGGCTCGGAGGGCACGGTGAGGCAAGAGAGCTCTGATTATCGCGAAATAAGACATATGACAGGTTGAGGAAGTAAGGAACCCACTGTAGCGCGTCGACAACTGCCCTTTGTGCGGCTTCGACCTCGTATTTGCAGGACGCTTCAAAGAGCGCAGAGAGACGTTGGTACTCGTCGAGAGGAGACGTATATCTGTGCGACTTATTGAAGAGAAGCATCGTATCTGGCTTGACCATGTCGGTATCGTAGATGAAGTGAAGGAGATCCTCCAGGGTGTCGGAACTCTCGGTGAGTTCGACAGAGGCGTTCAAGGAGCGTGAAGGGGATGCCTTTGGATCGTCTAAATCGTGTTCAACATGTTTCCCTAGTGCCGGAGAAGGGAAAGAGAGCATATCAGCGAAGATAGGGCTCGCTTGGGACATTCGTTGTTTGTGAACATAGAAGGTGATACCGTCGCTGGCTTGGACATGAAGGTCAGAGTCTGCAAAAATGAAGGAGGTCATGGTGGATGTTGTCGTCGTGTCGTCTGAGATTTGTCGTCGAAATTGTTCTTTTAAAGGCCCGAGTGGTGCACTCTCCAAATGGCAGCTTGTTCCCCGCTCAACCAATGTCCGCAATTGAAATTCCTATTCGCGCCCAGAACAACAATGACACTGGCCTCAAAAGGAAACGGTAACAAAATATTCCTCTCTCCGCTAAATTCCTTTTATGCTCATATTTCTTTTTTCTTTTTACTTTCGTCTAGACCAACGTCGAGCTCCCCTTCACCCCTGAAAGGAGATCGCTCACCCCCACCGAGGAGAAGACGCTCAAATACACCTTCTGATGATGGTAACACTGCTGCTGGAAAAAACAAGTCGGATGGGAAGGAGCGAGGCCAGCAGGACGCAGCTTTTGATGCTCGCGCAGAATTCCTCAAGCTGACCGCCAACAGCCGTTCAGGAGGCGTATACATGCCACCAGCACGATTACGCGCACTCCAAGCGGAGGCTGCGAAGGACAAGAATAGCGCAGAATACCAGCGTCTGTCTTGGGACGCCCTCAGAAAATCGATCACCGGTATCGTTAACAGGGTTAACATTGTCAATATCAAATCCATAGTCCCCGAACTGTTCAACGAGAACCTCATACGCGGAAAGGGCCTATTTGCTCGCTCCATCATGAAGGCCCAAGCTGCTTCTCTGCCATTTACACCAGTATTCGCTTCTCTGGTTGCCATCCTTAATTCAAAACTTCCAACCGTTGGAGAATTAGTTCTTATTCGTCTCGTAAGCCAGTTCAGACGCTCCTTCAAGCGCAACGACAAGGTGTGGCTTCTGACGTTCCTGACCCATTGCCTTATTCTAATCCCTTGTTTTATTCATTCGTTCCCTTTAGCCAGTATGTGTGGCCACATCCACCTTTATCGCACATCTTGTCAATCAATCTGTCGCCGCTTCTTTGCTAGCGTTCGAGATCATTATTCTATTGCTCGAACGCCCGACGGACTCCAGCGTTGAGATCGCCGTTGGCTTCATGAAGGAGGTTGGCGCCTACCTTGCTGAATCGTCTCCAAAAGCGAACCTTGACGTCTTTGATCGTTTCCGTGCCGTTTTGCATGAAGGCACTATCGACAAGAGGGTTCAATACATGATCGAAGTCTTATTCCAAGTCCGGAAAGATAATTTCAAGGATAACCCGATCATCCCCGAAGGTCTTGATTTAGTGGAACAGGAAGATCAAATCACACATGAAGTGTTTTTGGACAGCAAGTTGGAGGTGCAAGAGAGTCTGAGTAAGCACCCTGTTTTTTTAGGCGTTATGATTACTCATCCGGCTCGCGTAGACGTTTTCAAGTTTGATCCTGATTACCTCCAACACGAGGAAGAATACAAAGACTTCAAGGCTGAAGTGCTGGGTGAAGAAGATTCAGATGAAGAAGGAAGCGACAGTGATGAGGATAGTCAAGAAGAAGGTAAGAGCATCTGACATCATCAATCAAATTTGCGCTTACCAGGAGATAGTTGAAGAAAAAGCCGGTATTGAAGACAAGACGGAGACAAATCTGGTCAACCTACGACGAGTTATTTACCTTACACTTCAGAACGCTGTAAGTGACGCCCGTTCCTTAAATTCATTCAGATACTAAACATCTTCCAGCTTAGTTACGAAGAAGCTGTACACAAATTACTCAAGGTCAAGATACAGGAGGGAGAAGAAGTAAGTAGTTCGCCTTTACTGTTTCATCTTCAATGCTGACATGGTGTCCTAAAAGATTGAAGTATGTAACATGGTAGTGGAATGTTGTTCTCAAGAGCGAACATACTCTCGCTACTACGGATTGATTGGCGAGCGCCTTTGCAAGCTCAATCGGGTGTGGTACGACTGTTTCGACCAAGCCTTTGGAACCTACTACGAGACCATTCACCGGTACGAAACCAACCGCCTGCGCATCATTGCCAAGTTCTTTGGTCACCTCCTGTCTACCGATTCTATCTCATGGGCCGTCCTCGAAGCCATCAAAATGAACGAAAATGACACGACTTCTGCCAGTCGTATCTTTGTCAAAATTATGATGCAAGAAATGAATGAAGCTATGGGAACCAAGTCTCTTGCAGAACGATTCAAGGACCCGGATGTCCGTCAACATACTCATGGGCTCTTCCCTACGGACCTGCCCAAAAACACGAGATTCTCCATCAATTTCTTCACAAGTATCAATCTGGGTGTATTGACTGTAGAAATGCGTGAACATTTGACGGTGAGTATTTCAGGCCAATTTCGACAGCATTTTCTGATTTTTGAACAGAACGCACAAAGGCTCTTGATGGAGCAACGAGCTCAAGCAGAGTCTTCATCCTCCGACTCGGACTCGGATTCAGACGATTCATCAGATTCAGACTCGGACTCTTCCGACAGTCGTGATAGGCGTAGCCGTAGTCGCAGTCGTGCCCGTAGCGACTCACGTTCACGTTCTCGGAGCCGGAGCCGGAGTCCACGAAGACGGCCACCACCCAGCTACGATTCACGGGCAAGGCGTGATGATTCACCGAAGAGAAGACGTCGTTCATCCTCTGCTTCGTATGATAGCCCCCCTCGAAGGAGGAGATCACCATCTCCGGATGTACGAATGCGCGATCGTGATGATTCGCCACCTCGAAAAAATACTAGAAAGGACTCAAGGTCAAGATACAGGAGGGAGAAGAAGTAAGTAGTTCGCCTTTACTGTTTCATCTTCAATGCTGACATGGTG